CCCTGCCACGGGGTAGACCCGGATTCGATTTCCGGCTAGGTGAATTTATTTTTGTAATATTTGCGAGATATGATATATATATATATATATATAAATATATATATAGTGTATATATATGAATATGTATTCATGTATATATGAATATTATATATATATATATATATATAAATATATATATATATATAAATATATATATATATATATAGTGTATATAAGTATATATATGGATATGTATTCATGTATATATGAATATATGAATATATCTATTGAAAATACCCGGCCAAAATTACATCCTTCTTCTTCTGAGATCATTATTCCAAGTGCAACTTTACCTAATGTTGATCTTAACAAGTAAGTCTATGAGTTACGGGGCGGTTGCTCAGCCGAAGATAATCAACACCACTTATATTATGTCAGCTAATGTATACGCAATACCGAAGGAATAGTTCTTTTTGAGATATGAAAAACCGACAAGTCGATATAGATCACAACTATGTCATTAACAATTTTTATACCTGTTCCCTTAAGCAAAACTTTAATTGAATTCGAGTAAGGTGGATAGTAGTGCCGCGTCCAAATAGGTGCGCAGCCACAGTCATCTACCGGTAATCCTTTTGGCCCATAGGAGGCAGTGGTCGCAGCTTCAGCACATCGATACAATGTACATATCTCTCCAGATTTGTGCGACGCAGATATTTCATCATCTTTCGCCTATTCTGTACCAGCTGTTCGAGGCCTCGTCGAGAGTGCAGATCCTTTGGGTTGCGCTTCATATGATCTACTAGATAGTTGATTCGAGCACTGGCCGCTGCGACTGTAAAGGGAACAATCGAGACGCAAATCAGTCAGACTCCGGCGGCATGGATTGTGGGCTATATTGCCATATGTTGTACATAAATCATGCCAGCTATACATGAGCTCTATATCGAATATCGATGGCCAGATATCCAAAACGTATGCACACCAGCGAGATACACTACATTGCATACAACGGCGAACGGTGATTACATCACTTAATGCTGATCAAATAGATCTTGAGAAAAAGGCAAAAACATACATTAAGATTGATGTCTCTAGCTCGCTTATTGAAGCCCAATCACCACACGGCTGTACTCCAGATACAACGTCTCGCAAAATTCTCAACACCGACCTGCCGTGCAATGCACATCCACCTAATGTGTCAATTAAAACACGCACAACTCGCGACCGTTCCGCATTTATACACATGTCCTCGGCCGATCATATACTCTAAAGATTGCATCGCTCCATTTTACTTACTTTGTGCCTCTCCTGATCCGGTGTCGAACTTGTGTCTCTTCACTAACGCCATTGCTTTATCTTTACTAACCTAAGGAAGATAAATCCAAAAGGATTAGCGATTGGAAAGATACAGCTTAACAGCTACGAGATATCCAGGTATGTGTCAAGTTATGGTTTATTTTAGACACCGAGTTTCATTTTATAATTCGCCAGGAGTAATACTAATACACATGGGCCAAACCGCACGAATATCCGTTAAACGACGGGAAAAACCAAGTCATCGTCCTAGAGCTTGGATGCATACACATTTTACATGAGCGAGTACAGCACCGAGATATACGAACAAGAAATAGCGAAAGCACATTTGCAGTTTTCAAGATCCGACACTGAAGCAATTAAGAATTATGCGAACATCACCGCACAAAAAACATAACATGGGCGATTGAGACCTCTGAAGAGGCAGATCAAGCTGAGCACTCCAGTATATGGTACAAGAAATACAGAAGCTCGCTAGATTCTCATGGACCAGTCGACACGTGGGTCACTGCATTGTACAACACTGGTTGTGGCAACAAGCCAAACACACACAGGTGAAGATACGGTCTTTCACAAGGCCATAACAAGCGAACAGACCTGATTCTTTTCTTCTTGACTGGCGTTTTCAATCAGCAATCGACGCTTAAACTGCTCGTCCATGCCGCTGAGACTCTTCTCAGTGATACCATACAGATATTCGGCAGCTTCGGGGGCTACGATTCCAGCCGCGTCTTCTACTGATAGACTCTCAACTTTGGCACGGTTTTTCCTGCACACATTGGAGAGAAGGTCATGGCAAGTACAGTTAGCATATGAGCAGCTAAATACCTAGTAACCAGAAAGCACCCACAAAAGTAGTTCACATGATTGCGCAAGTGACTAACAATTCATTGAATTTAGGGAGCATGTAGGTGTAACGCAAAATATCAATGTCGTATTCGAATATGTCAAATTAAATCTTACTCTAACGGACAATATGTACCATATTTCTGTTTATAAATATGTAATATCATAGCGCACTATTGCGATCTAACGCGTCCAGCTATGGTGCACCGTTTGAGAACATTTGATTAGAACTCCGTAAGGATAGCGAATCAATTGAGAATATTTATTAATGATTGCCAACAACAACATTCGTTGTGAGTGACATAGCAGCGTAGTTGCTAGAGTAGATATCTAAACGAAAAACATAATACGGAACAAGCAAAAGACAACGAGTTCAAAACCACGATATCGTCTTACATCACAAGGTTCGCATAACCAGATATTCTATTTTTGAACGATATCGAAGACCAGCCAATTATCACATAAACCTACTACATGAGAGTGAGTGATATAGCGGCTGAGTCCAACTACTTTTATCGACTATATTTTGAAGAAGATAAGTATATGCATGTCTATATTCAAACACGGTATAAATACACACACACACACACATATATATATACATATATTTAGATATAAATATAAATATAAATATACATACATATATATATATATATCTACATCTATATATAAATACATATATATCTATCTATATAAATATAAATATATATATATATAGATATATTTAGATATAAATATAAATATAAATATATATAAATATATATATATGTTTATACATATACATTTACATATATATACAGACATACGGACATATACATACATATATATATATACGTATATACATATACATATATAT